AAACACAGATAGACATTCTTCTGGTATTCTCTGCTTTCAGCCAAGATCCATCTATCATCAGCAACACTACTAACAACAAAAACATAACCAAAATGGCTCCTTCTTTGAAGCCATGTTTACACATGTGTTGCTCAAAACACACCTTCCATTTTTAGTCCCAAATCTGAATGTATCCATAGGATAGGAAAGAGTTTTTTGACTACTCGTCCCCCTCCCGCTGCCCCAGCAGTGCAGCAGATTTCTCCATGGGAAAATGTTTTATGTGTGTGCTTAAAGTTATTTGACGCTTTGGTGTTGCGTACGATCTATAGTTTATGACTCTGCTTCACTAGTTTTTCACCTATTCAACAAATGTTTACTGAATGCTTACTGTACGTCAGACCATCTGCAGGACACTAAGGATGTAATAAGAATAACAATAATACACATCTTGTCCTTGACCTCATTAGCTGTAAACTCTTTTAGAGAAAATATACATTGTAAAAGTAATTGTAAAATATTATTTACATGTAATTGATTAAATAGTATAAAGAATTAAACATTTATAATGGCCATTGTTGAGAATGAATGAGGGATGTCAAGCCAGGTTGAAGGCCATATTGAGCATGGAAATGAGAAATCAATTAATACCATCAGACCACATGACTGTAATTTTTGGTAGCCATACTATACATCGTATAAGCATAGACTTAGTAGTAGAGAAGCTGATTGACTGGATCCATCCAATGTTAGGGGTTGCAGGATGGTTAAATTGGAATAATTAGGAAATGAGGTTTCTGGCATTATTAGGAAGACACCTGTGGTCCCCCTGGACAGTTCTGACCCCAGCTTAGGTTCTAGGAGCTCTTTTCTCTTTCTCCAGATTCTGATTCTGATAGTGGATGTGATAACCATCAGTATGTTGGTGGTATTATGCAAACTATGGAAAGACAAGTGGCTGATACTTGGACTGTCCCTGAAGGTAAGCATCATCCTGCAGTTCTAGCACTGTCTGTCCAGCTGTGTCCAGCCTGACTTCTGGCTTTCTCCTAGGTTTTTACTCCCTACTGGCATGTGGCCTGCATAACACTGATGGTTGTCTTTTCATGGCCTCTATCCTACTGCTTGGTCCAGTTGGAAGGAAAAGGTATGTCATGTTGGCAGGGTCTTACCTGATGCTTTCAGCTCTGGCTTTAGCTTACTCCACTCAGCAAAACAAAACCCTGGTAGCTATCCAACTTTTGCCTCTTTGAAATTAGTTTAGCTTGTTCCTCAAACATGTTCCTTGCAGTCTCACCGTCTATTATAAATGCCCTGCCACTGTTTTTCTTTCTCTGATAAAATCGGTCTCCAAAAGAGGGATTTATCTTCTATAAATCCCAAGATATCTCTCTACATTAATTATGCATTGACTGCCTAGAGATGGATGGAGCTGGTGAGACAATGTTTGGTTTTTTGACAAAAGGACTGTAAGAAGTACAATTCTTTAATTTTGCTGTTGATGTTGTTATGTGCCGTCGAGTTGCTTGCGACTCATAGCGACCCTATGTACAACAGCCCTAAACTCTGCTCTGTCCTGTGCCAATTGCACTGTCTCTGACACTCCCATCCCAAT